CTCGGACACTGACTCCGGGGTCGCTGCGCTGCTGCCGCTGTCAGAGACGCGCACAGCTCTGCCGGGGCAGCGGTACCGGGCGCCGTGGAACGCTGGGGATGGAACGCACTGCTCCAGGCAACGGCCCCAGCCGGGGCTGACGGGTTGTTGTCTCGAACGCGGACCGGTTGCCCCGGCGTCACACTGGTTCGAGATGCTCTTTCACTCCTCTTTGCGCAGTGTTGGGTGCCAAGTGCAGTTCCGCAGAGCCAGCACACCCTCAGCCTGCCAGCTATCCCCTCTTATACATGTCAAACAGTGACAATCGGTGTCTTCCCTGTAGGGGACAGTCTGGAGCTGCACATATAGGCTCTTACACCGTCTTTGTCTAAACACACAGTAAGGAAAGCGTGACAGCAAACATTGGTTTTTCCAAACTCCAGATTTTCAAGCTTTCACACCCATAGTCCTTTACAAAACCTGAACTTCTCTTTGCAGGATAACGGGATGGGGACACCGTTGCACGGGGACACCAAGGCAAGAAGGGTGGGAGCACAGCGACACCAGAGCAGGTCCATCGCACTGGGAAGCCAGCGGAGCAGCTGGAACTTCCTGCAGACAGCTCCGACCCCAGCCCTTGACAGACACTGCAGCAGCAGTTCCAGTCCTCATTTTTGCAGCAGGAAGGGGCCAGACTACGAGCACTGAGAGAAAAACCAGTATGGCAGAGAAAACATCACACTGGCAGGACAACGTACTCTGTGAATTCAGCTTCATTTCATGAGCTAGTGAAGAAATGCAACAAACATAGACAGAAAAGAGGGCTCAGTCCCCTTTCCTTTGCCCAGACTAGTCTGTAGGTGAACTCACTTAACTGCAGCAGGAAGGGGCCAGACTACGAGCACTGAGAGAAAAACCAGTATGGCAGAGAAAACATCACACTGGCAGGACAACGTACTCTGTGAATTCAGCTTCATTTCATGAGCTAGTGAAGAAATGCAACAAACATAGACAGAAAAGAGGGCTCAGTCCCCTTTCCTTTGCCCAGACTAGTCTGTAGGTGAACTCACTTAACTCAAATGCCACCCATTTTACTGTGAGATGACTAGGAGTTTGTTGTAACTTCAAACACAGCTGGGCCACGGCCTAAATCCTGGTTAGCCACGAACAAGAGGCATCTGATGAAGTGAGAGCTGTGCTGCAAGCAGGTGCCAGCAGGTGGTACGCTCCCAGCAGAGCAGACCTGTTGAACTCCCTAGCAGAGGGTGTTCTAAATGCAGCAGGTCCATATGGGGTCAGGAGGAGACTGTCAGTGCTCACCAGCTGGAACAGTGCAGAGCCTGGGGAGGGATCATGCAAGTCTACCCCTCTTAGGGTTTCTTCCCTGGGTGTGCTCTCACAGGCACTGTTACATACAGGACACTAGTCCACACATTTGAGCCATGCAGCTGCTCTTCCATGACCAGTGTTTTCCCACTTCTCCATTTACAGTGACTCCAAAAATCAGTTGTGGACGGAGTTTGATAAATACAGTGCAGTTCTCACTTCTTGTTTGATTGACAGTAGAAAATTGACATCGAACAGTGAAACCAACAGCTTGAATTTTCCACTAAAAGCTCAGACTTCTGCCCCTGACTGCCACTGGCGCAGGAGCTCAAATCTAGTATGAAAAGCAAACACATATAGATGGAATTATTGAACCTTTTCCTCCGTGGTTTGTAGCATGAACAGGACAGGCTGTAAGAAGTTAAAGAAACACTGGCATGGGAGGAAAATCTTCTTCAGGAATCAGTGACAGCCTCTGAAACTCCAGCAAATACAGCAACAGGCATGAATTACTGCCTCGAACAAGAGCGTTGAACGACACTGTCTATCTTAAAAATTAAAAATGAGGAACTGGAAATGCAGAGGGAGAAAATGCAGGTGCTCCAGAAAGAGGCAGCGCAGGCAAAAGCTTTGCAGCAGTCTCTCACTCATGTGACTGCCATCCAGTTAGAGAGGGAGGGACAAATGAAGTTGTACTGGGAATAGGTGAGAATGCTGGAAAAGCAGAAAGAAATGCATGAAACTACTCTCAGTCAGGTTATTAAGGGATATAACAGAGAAAAACAGAAGATGGTATCCCAGGAAAAAAGACACAAGACCTGGAAAGCAGTGAGAACGGCAGGGGGCTGGTGTCAGCAATGTCAGCAAAGAGCTGGAGGGGAGAGACCAGGAGGGGTTGTAGCCACCCAGCTGCTTGCTGTAACCCTGACAGCGATTCCCTTGGGAGACTGAGTCCAACATGGTGCTTAGACAGAAGCAGACACTTGGAGCTCTTACGGAGAAGTAGTTCAGGAAGTTAGGAGAAGTTGAGGCAGTGTAAAATGAGGCACTCACCCAGTAGCAGTGCTATATGTGGAAGGGCATCATATTGATAGATTGAAGTCTTTGTCTCATTTATCAGGAATTTATAGCTCTAAATTAACCTCTCTCCTCATCTTCTGATCAATAAGCTCAAGATCCTTCAGCCACTTCGTACAAAGCAGGTTTTCAGAGCTCATTCCCTAGCCCCTGTTTTGCAACCACTGCTTCACAAGACACTACCCCCAGTTCTCAGTATTTTGGCTTTTGCCTAGATTTCTAATGATCCTTCAGCTATGTTAAAATACAGGGAGCTGAATCCATCTTAGTTTAGGCTTCCAATGTATTTGGGATGATTATCTTAGACAGTCTTAAGAGAGAAACACAAGATACAAAACTAGAAACACGAGATACAAACTAGTACTGTAGAAAGTCACACTTAGCAGCAATGATCTGGCAAATCCTTCATCACCTTGCACTAACTTGCAGCTACATGCAAGGGAAAATGTTTTCCACACAAGCCACGGTGCAGGACTCCCTGGAATTGTCTGTTTGGAAGGTGGCACAGCTCCTGTAGGCAGAATCTTAGGATTTGGAGAACAGGGTGCAATGCACTTCCAAGGAGCAGGGACCCCGGCAGTCCTTCCTCTTCAAATACCTACGCACACTGTGTGAGGAGCTGCTTTTACAGAATGGGCCGAGAAGGACAAGTGGACTGTATGAACCAAGTTTGATAGAGTGGCAGAGCTCTTAAAAATACTAAATTCTTACAAGTGTTGTGAAAGCTGGAAGCTGGATAGATGAAAAGTGGTAACTCAACATTTAGCTGGTTTTGTGGCCTACTGCCAAGTTAATCAATACCCCCATAGGGCAGAACCAGACATAGCACACTGCCTCTTGCCCAGCAGGAAGGTGGGCAATATGCGAGGATAAAAGGATGGCATGGTTGAGAGAGCCACAGCACGGAGTCATTGCTGGGGACTGGTTTTGACAGAAGTAACTCAGGGAAAAGCTGCTTTATTTTGAGGGGAATATCAAAACTACAACTGACGTCAGAGGAAGGACCATTAGATCAAAATCAGGAGGGTGGGCTTTAGGAGCTACCTTATTTGTGATATACATGAAGTCACCGAACTCTTCTATCCTCCAGTTCCTCCGCCAAAGCAAGGTAAAGCATTCAGAGCTCCTCATGTAGAAAGGAAGGTTGTTATTTAGGAAAGTAGTTTGGTGTTTCTGATACTAGTCAGGGTGGGAAATGCTTCAGCACACACAAGTCAAGCTAAAACATCTTGTGTCTTTTCCCTTTCTCCTTGCCTTAGAAATAAAAACATCAGTACAGGATGAGAGAAGGGTCCCATTAATCCATGTTCAATCCAGCCCCGTGCTTCATTTCCCAAAGGCTCATTGAGAACAACAGTTCATTTTTGCAGCTTGTGAAAGACCTGCTTGCTCCACACTCTTTTGTACGATGAAAGCAGCAGGACAGCCTTGACACCTAAGTACCACCAGTTCCAACTACCAGCCCTTTTGTGCCACGGGGTAGGCAGCTCTTGGCAATTTTACACCTAGTTTTAAAACAAAGGCTGGTGTTCCGCAGCCTCTGCAGGAAAGGCTGTGTTGGGGTGCTGGAGGGGGAGGCTGTTGCCTGCAGGGTGCACTGCCGCCCCACGCTCGCTGCCCAGCCCGCTGGGCATCCCCAGCCTCCTCCTCCAGCTGGGCTTACATGGGTTTTCTTTTAAAGCATAGCAAAGTATGCCAAAATACACTGACTGCGGGCACGGCCGTGTGCTGTTTGTGACAAATTAAACTTCACCCTCGCTGAGCGCTGCATGACCAGCTCAGCCCTTCAGCCACCAGAGGACAAAGTGAAGCCACTGTTACAGTTCTCTGGAAGAAGAACAAACTGAATTATACTGGGGTATTTTAATGTATGTGTCCAGGGGGCTGTGTGACAGATCTCAGCTGTTGATCTCGCAGTTTGTCCTGTTTAAATGTGAAGTTCATCGAAGGCTAAGGTAGAGGTCGTATTGCCACTTGAAAAGGCATCCTCTGGAGTGTTGAGCCTGTGGAGCTGTTTCACATGAGGCAGAGTATGACTCATGCTAATGAAAAGGGTAAAGAAGATTTTTTTAAAGAAATATATCGCAGTTAAATTAGTTTAGACAGCATGACATCAGAGAGTAATTAAATAGGTTTGTTGGAATTCCGTTTCCAATTCCTGAGTTCAGGTTTGTAAAAGATTTCTGAGCACCTGCAGGTCTCTGTGTGTGAAATATTTTCACTGGAAAGGATTCAAAACGTTAAAAAAACCTTTTAACACAGAGGCAGCATTACGCCATTCTTCCTTCTTGGAAAAAAAAGCCCTTGGATTTAAACAGGACTCCTTCAAGTTTTCAGTCAGTTTTACAGAAGAAAACGAGGTGGTAAACTTTCTCTTTTCAAGAACAAGTTCTTTACAGCTGCTCACTGAAATCAGGGGAGATCGTGTCTGAGTACATGAGCACTTCCACTATGGGACTGGATACAAGTATTGAACAACAAGATTTGAAATGTTTTCATCTCAAACGAAAACCATTTTTGCTGACTTTGGTTTTTAATTTCTTTCATGTTTTCTTCTGCCAAACTGGAGGAACCTTTTCTGATTTTTTCTTTAGTGGCATTCAGAGGAAGACCAGAGGATGAAAATCCTGCATTTTCTCACTTTACTGCTTTGGCATTTGACTTGGCTGTCTCTGGATCTAGTTCCTGGAGCGCTGAGTAATTCTGAAGTAGGCCAGAGTAATCCAGGATCTAAACTAGGTTTTTTAAAAGCAGAAGGAAAAGAGAGGAATCCCTCAGCACGGGCAGGTTCACTGAGGACTGCAAGCCATGGATATAGTACTGGGACCTCAAAGGCTAGGACTAAAAGCAGTGCTGTTCAGGCTGGAGCTCTGCTGGCCAAGAACGATGAATCAAAGAAGGTTCTCTCAAGAACAGCAGCCACGGAGGGCAAGGTAGGACATCTCCCCAGCAGACCTTCTGGAGTAAGGACAGTGACTCCAAAGGTTCAGAATCTTAGCAGCAAGGTGGCTTTGAAAAAACCTGGCACAAGCAGTACTGACACTGATGCTTTCAAAACCAAAAAGACTAAAGAGCCTGTAACCCAGAGGGAAACCAAGGAAACTTTCAGACATCCCCCTATAACGCCACATGAATACATGCTCTCTCTGTACAGGACTCTCTCAGATGCAGAAAGAAAAGGTGTTAATGGAAGTGTAAAACTGGAGGCTGGACTTGCCAATACAATAACCAGCTTTATAGACAAAGGACAAGGTAAGAAAGGAGCTCGTGTGTGTGTGTTTATACAGAGAGAGAGATATCTGAGTGTGTTTATACATGTGGAGAGTTTTAGAAAATAATCATACTTCATTAAAGTCAAATAGCTCTTTTTAATGTAAACAGAATCGTACAAGTTTGCTGCAGGTTTTGTCCTCCTGACTTATCTTGGAAAATTCAGTTAGAGGCAGAACTAGACGGTTGTGTGGCAGCCAAACAAAACATTTAGGAAATATTTTAGATGCATATTGTTGAAAATCAGTCAGTCTTTGCATGCTTAGGTGTTTAAAAACCTTTTACATTCGTGTCCTATTTACTTTGCATAACTAGTTCCTGGAAGCTGCTAACATTAGATTTATTGTAAGTACGTCTAAAAACACAGGATGTGCTAAGAACAGGGCTATTCTGTGAAGAAAACCCAGAAGTTTCAGTATCGATGGGTCAGCCTGATTTGTTCAAGGTAGAATTGTGAGGCACTACACAGGAGTCATTATAGCACAGGGCGGGTGTATCAGCACTAGCCTGAGGCTCAGGCTTTCAGGTACCACCAACCTTTTCTCCAGCAAAGCCCACAGCTCAGCACAGACTAACAGGAGCTGTAACTTCTAGGACTCCACGACTGGGGTTCAACATTCTGGTTCCAAACTTCTTTTGAAACTTGGACTAGTGTCTGCTTTCACAGCAGAAATAACCAGGCTCCCACAGAACGATATTCACCTCACCACTGTGGCTGGGGACCCCCGTGTGGCTTCCAGTGACGTTAGTAGGAGGTTTGTCATGTACTTCAGGAAGCAACACAGGCTACAGCTGATAAGGTGGATGGTGATAGAAACTCAGCCAGGAATGGGTTTGTTTGCCATTCAATTACGAATAGCTTGTTTGCTGGGAAGGGCTGATACGCTGCTCACAGGTACTGCAGCCAGGTTCTTGGCTCGGCACTGGAGGGCATTGTTAATGTGCTGTCACTAAAACGATGGCTCAGCCATGCTCCTTGTCAGTGCTGCTCCAGAGCTTGAGCAAGCAAACGTACTGTCAGGTTAAAGGGAGGTGTGTTTTTCTGCCCAGTTTGAAGCAGTTGTGAATCATGTGAGGTTAAGTTAATAAGGCAGTTATCCTTGTGTCTGACAGTTCCTGGGGGATGCTGGTTTTAAAGGACTAATTCACTATTGTATCGTCTAAGGGTAGATTTGCTCATGTCTGGAGCCAGCGTGAGGCCTGGGCACCACTGAAGCTCTGTTTCAGTAATTTAAGTAGGATGTAAGTGGTGAATAGGCCCTGTGAGTGCTCAGCCCTGGAAAAGGACTATTTTTCAATTGGTTAATTGCTACTTTGAAGCTAGAAAAGATGGTGAAAGAAATGAGGTTTCTACTAAACAAACTCAGAAACTCATTTCCCTCTTGAGTCACTGAATTCTTCTGGGTCCCTGCACAGAGCTGGTTCATTAGACCAAAACTGCTCTTTCTGTTTGGTGGGCTAATAAACGGAAACTCCTAGGCTTATGAGCAAACTTTAGGAAAACCATTAAGAAATGAATAACTGATGCTGATCTGTGCTTGATATACTTTTAAAAATGTGCGTGCTTTGCTTTTTTTAGACGAGCGAGCGCCAACTGTAAGGAAGCAAAAGTACATTTTTGACATCAGTGCATTAGAAAAAGATGGTTTGCTGGGAGCAGAGCTTCGAATATTGAGGAAAAAGCCTTCTGAAACATGGAAGCCTCATTCTTCTGGAAAAACCTCCCAGGTGAAATTATTTAGTTGCTCTACAAACAGACAAGCAGCAACACTCCTGGACTCTCGGACTGTCAGTATCACAGACACACCAAAGTGGGAAGTGTTTGACATCTGGAAACTTTTCAGGAACTTTAAAAACTTGGTTAACTTGTGTTTTGAACTGGAAACTTTTGACAGGGGTAGAGCTGTTGATCTCAGGAGTGTGGGATTTAACAGAACAGGAAGACAGGTCAATGAAAAGGCTCTCTTCTTAGTATTTGGGAGGACAAAAAAAAGAGACTTATTCTTCAATGAAATCAAAGCTAGATCTGGCCAAGATGACAAAACTGTTTATGAGTACTTATTCAATCAGAGGCGGAAGAGAAGAGCTCCTCTAGCAACACGCCAAGGGAAGAGGCCCACTAAGAATCTGAAGGCAAGGTGTAGCAGAAAAGCCCTCCATGTGAATTTTAAGGATATGGGCTGGGATGACTGGATAATAGCTCCGCTAGAGTACGAAGCCTATCACTGCGAAGGGCTTTGTGAATTCCCCCTTCGATCCCATCTGGAGCCCACCAATCATGCAGTGATCCAAACACTAATGAACTCAATGGACCCAGAATCGACCCCCCCGACTTGCTGTGTCCCCACCAGGCTGAGTCCTATTAGCATTCTTTTCATTGACTCTGCAAACAACGTGGTCTACAAGCAGTATGAGGACATGGTGGTGGAGTCGTGTGGTTGTAGGTAGCAGAACAGTTGCTCACATGGATATGTCATGAAAGAAAATATGACACTTTGAACATAAACTCTCCACAAGCAAGGTTAACTAGATTTCTTACCTTTAGGGGAAGTATGTTTACAAGGATGTAGCAATAAATCCAGTGCTTCTGTATGTCTCTCCACTATGGGCACATTTCAGTAGCATTTGGATGCTGGCATGTAGCTTGATATAAGGCTTGTGTTGGCAACACGAAACTGGTTCTAACTGAAGTCCATGATAGAGAAGATTATACCTGCACACCTCTAGATTGCCTGCTTTTAGTGTCAAGGCAGTGGGTAAAGACGGTATCAGTGAGCTGTGGATATGACCTGTTTGATCCCTTGAACAATGTTTTTGAGACTAAATTTATGTCTGAGTCCCACATGCTTTTTCCATTAAGAAATGTAAGAAAAGAGTCTTGATGTCTACAGGGAAAGGTTGTGTTCTGGTGTGCTCCCATCTTGGTGTAAATAGTTACACTGTAATATTATTTCTTTCTGATTAGCTCTTGAAACTACGCATATATAAAAAAGGAGTTGTTAGATATAATATGTTTAGTTTTAAGTTTTACATGGAGATAGGTGATGCCAGAGGTATTTGCTTCCATGTATATTTTCCTCCAAGCTACATATCTTTCTTAAGTATCCACCTTTCCATTGTTATGTTATATATTACTCTGTATAAGGTCCAAGTTGTTCTCAAATGCTCATAGTAAAAGTGTTCCATTATGGCATAAGATGTAATAAATTATTGACACAGTGCTACATTGTGTCTGGCTGTTCAACTCTGCATAATTACAATGCTATTAAGAAATTGGTTTTAATGTCTTTGTACAATAAACACAAGTGAAAGGGACTTTTCAGTGCAGCAGAATACCAGTGGTATACAAAACATGTCCATGTATTTTGCTGCCACGGACAGAAACTGTGGAAACACTGGAAGAAAGATCTGAAAGTGTGGTTTGACCTGGTGGGGAATGATACTATCACTTGTTATATCTGGAGCAAAAATTAGATGTGCAGATGATTACAAAAGAGCTCTGATACCCTTTTATTCAAGCCTCCAAGGGCTGTGTGTTTGCCTATCCCCTTTATCTATTCTAGATATGGATTATAAATGTACTGTGGGATTGCTCTGTGTATGTTTCCAGCTACAAAATGAGGTTAACTGTGGACAGGCCGTAAGAACCATCAGAAATTACTGAAGTTGCTTCTCAGTAGTATAAAATACAAATGTTAAGGTTTCCTATTGTTCCATCACAGTTTAAACCATCAAGTAACATGATTTTCTAGATCTGAACTCTCCTCTGCACAGCATCACTGGTGTGGGTAACAGCAGGGAGCTGGATATGGCCCAGGGGTCCTCCCGGTCAGTACCTCAGACTGGACCTGCTCTGGCTCACACTAGCAGCAAACCATCCTAAATTCGTGGTCAATAGCCATAAACAGTGATAAAAAGCTCTGCCCTTCCTCCTGCACTCTTTAGGTGGCTGAGCATTTAAACACCTTGAAATACATGGCCAAGCAGCCTTGCTGCCAGACACACGGGGCTCTCCTGTGCAGGCAGACCTTGTGCCCGCGTGGTGACACGGAACAAGCACTGCAGGGAGCTTTCATTTATACGATCTCTCTGTAATACCTTAGCACAGTGATTTCTGCCTGCAGGAACCGATGTTGCTTGGTGCAGGCCATGCGGTAACACAAAACAAGGTGGGTCAGAATGCTGCACCTGACAGCAGGGTGAATCAGGAACTAGCACGTTAACAGGCATGTAGGATATGAGCATTTGAAGCCACTTTGCAATATGTGCATGAGAAGTTATGGTATCTCACGGATGTATTTTGTGGGTCTGGACTGTCCCTATGGCTTCTCTACCTCCCTTCAGGACTGCCAGCATGTTCTGCTCTTCCTCGTCCTGATGCAGTCTTAGGCCAGGACCAAGAGTTACTGTCCCCTGCACTAACTGCCTATCACCAGCCAGTCTCATATGACTTTTAGAACAAAAGGAGGTTTTAATTCTAAGTTTTACCACAGCCTTATTCAGATACAATTTACCATTGCTACAGCAGGAAAGAAAACATTCTCCTGACTAGTCCATAGCCAGGAGAGCATCTCAGAGTCTTTTTTTGCCCATTCTGTTCAAGCAGTTCTTTTCTTGCTCCTGGCTGTTTTCTAGGTGACTGGCTTGCAGCTTTTAAGGATCCCTTCTCTAGCACAGACCACAGCTACCTCCTGGAGAGGCTGGCTAGATGACCATGAGAAAGGGTTGTCTCCTTTCTTCCTTGCACGAAAGACTGCTGCTCCCAAGCATGTGCCTGTTTGCACATTCCCAGCAAAGCCCCTGTTCTTGCACATGGCAGACACAGCTGTGCCAGGCTATTTATTAACCACACAGGCACATTCCTCGGTGGCTCAGGTGATCAGTTTAAAATAGCACATACTGCCTATTCATGTCCACTTGAAGCAAATCTAAATAGTCTTAACAGACAAGTTAATTCCTGGGATTATAACTGCCTGTGAAGGGCAGTTTGCTTCAGTTCCAGCTGAATCCATGAGATGCTCCAGCAGCTTCAGAGGAAGGTAGCATTGGTGTTACACACGATGCATGATGGTTTGGAAACCCAATGAGAACTGCTACACACTTCACATGCGGAGCTGTGGATCAGCCTGAGGATCCTGGTGAAGCTGGTCACAATAAAAGCATCTCTTTGAGGTTCTTCTTTCCTGTCCTTGTATGAATTTCTTAATACATGAATAAAGCAAGATAAAAATTCAGGTAAATGTTAATTAAAATGAGTATGTATCAACATCTACATGGAAAATAACCCCCAAGCTAAGATTTTGCAATTATCCCAAAGCAAATAATGTGAAATGAGGAAAAGTTAAAAGAAATACTAACATACTGAGGTGTTAAAAATCATCCTTTAGGAATGTTTCAAAATCCAAAATTCTGCTAGGTAGTAGTTATATCTTGAAGGGAAAAGAAAAAAGAAAACCAACCCCCAGTAGCTGGTCTTTAATATCAGTTTAAACCAATTTGAAAGTACAGACACTAAAATGCTAGCATTATAATGGATTATTACTGCATCAAAATTGCCAGATATTGGGTTTGGCCTAAACAGAACCAATTTCAGCCCAAGTGGTCACGTTAGGAGGTAACATGACATTCACTTTGTTTAGTTGGTAGCTCAGATGTGGTGACATCCAGACAGGATGTCCATGGCACTACTTAAGTTTGGTCTAGCTCAAAGTGAGGAGTTTCTAATGGTGGGTGTGGGATTAGGGAGTTTGTTCTCTTTTGACTCTCAATTGAATATCCTTAGTTTGTAACTCTGTTTCTAAACCAGGGCTGCAATGACCAGGGTATCCTCTGCATTTACATTACTGAACCTGTGTGATAACTCTGGCAGTTCCAGTTCAATGCTATTTTATTCTGAAATGGTCTACTTACTTCTGCCATGGTGTAAATGTATGAATGAAGCCTGTAGGTGCTTCATGGGTGTAGTTTGAGCTATTGGGATCATCTGGCACAGATCTCTGTCTCCAATTAATTTTAAGATACTTACTGAATGGTTATGATCACTTAAATTTACAGTGTTGAAGTCAGTGACCTCTTACTGCTCTTCTCAAAGCAGTTTCTGTTACTCTTAATTCACCTAAAACTTCAATAGCAACAAAAAGACGCTGCCACAGTGAGCAGCATCTGAATTCCAAATATCCACCAACTTTCTGCTCACAAACCATTGCAAATATTGTCAAGACTTTACATGGAAATCTGCAGTTTCAGTATCTGGCGTGAGAATAAAAACACGTATCTAAGCTTCCCAAAGTATGAGAGTGGTGACCATTACAAGCATTCATTATCACTGGTAAGCACAAAAGCACAACCCAGGTGGACTTCCCTCAACCCTCATTCCTCTCTGAGAACAGAGGTTTAGGGATAGGGCACAGTCTGGGGCTGATACACAGCAAAGAAACTGGAACGAAACAGAGGACCTTGAAATTGCAGAAGTTTGGCACTGTTTCTTTAGCCTGGTCATTATATAATGTGCAAAGATAGACACCCTAAATTATTGTTATGGCTTTCTTCCCATGGGTGAGCTGGTGTTAGTAACTGGATGGTAGAAACGCAAAGAAACCTGAGCTGTAAAGCAATACAGGTTAAAAGTTCAGCTTTCCACCTTTATGATGGCAGGTTTCACTCTCTCACTGAGAATGCCTCATTTGTATTTACTTTTTAGGGTCATTATCTGTCCCACGAGAGTCTTTGTGAAGGTCCAAATTTCAAATAAACAGTACACTGTAAGACAGGTATGTGTGGATAATTTTTGTTGTATTTGGCTAAAATATGGGTACTAAGCTCAATAGGTAAACATAAAAGTATGCCATTGAAAACAATGCATTCCCATTAGTGTTTGAATATGTGCCTAAACTCCATGTACACTTTTACATGGTTATGTCATTTCCTGTGTAAAATGGGCTTGTTTATACAGCAGCCATATGAAAGATGCAGTAACCCGCTATGTGGGCTATTTGAAGCTTTCTTTAAGAAACATAAAAACCCCTTGACCCTTGTATAATAAAAGGTGTTAAAAGATACTGCTTTTATAACATCTTAGCCAAGACTAATAAGAATGTACAAAGCAAACAAGTTGTTTTTTTTTTTACTCCATAGTCCTGCTCAATCACGTGTTATTTTATGAATTTACTGTTGCTGTTGGGTAGTAAAATGATATTTAAAAATAAAATTGCCTGAGATTTCATTGCTTCTCGACAAATTTAATAAACAAGGAAATCTAGACATTTTTGGAAAACCAGTAAAACCAGTGCAATAAATGCACTTTGCTGAGTGCTCAGAAGACCCATTTGTTCTGTCATTCCGAGTTCACTGATGCCCCTGTTTTGCTGGGGTTTCTTTTCAGAACTAGTTTCAACTTTCTGCAGTGATTTGGCTAGCTGAAGTAATGCAAATGGATTCAGTTTTCCCTGATGTCATTTTGAAGGGCACAGC